AAGGCTTTCAGTATTCTATATAATTGTTTTAATAAATACCCATTTTTTTAAATATAAAATATAAAGTATGTTTAATACAATAGTTTGGATTTTGCATAATTAGTCTATAATAATCGTACACATTTTTGTATGGTTACAGTTTAACATATATAGTTAGCGATGTACAACTTTGCTGTTGCGACTCGCATCAGTGAGTGACATATTACTTTTTATTTTAAAGTGACGTTGCTCATATAATTACTTCTCTCTCTCTCTCTCTCTCTCTCTCTCTCTCTCTCTCTCTCTCTCTCTCTCTCTTCGCGTGTGTACAAATTCTTAAAAATACACAATGTTCGACCACAAACAGCGCGCGCAAAGCGCGCGTTCTGTCATGTCTAGTATTTCTAAATTGTAAACCTTCATTTACTCTGAACCTAAAAAAATATCGAGCCCTATCGTGATAACTAGAAATTCTGTTTGGTTTAACCAAATAACATTCTATCATACACTTGTCTTGTTGATACAATGAAAGCATTTATTTCGGCTTGATACACAGCGTGTGACGAGTTGTAAAGTCCATCGTGATACACGAGGTGTGCGTCACACGGAATGCTCGAAACATGGAAATTACCGAGTGGCATCACTCCGCGTGCAACCCCAGTAAATCTCTCGTTCCCGCGGGATATAGTCGGCGGAAATACAATCCGCAATTCCCGACGGTAGTTCATTGAGTGCTTTTGGTTCTTGCGAGAAAGTGCACGCATACCAGAGCAAACGGCGACGGCAACGAGTGCATGTGCTGCCGACCGCGTTGCGGTCTCGGCTGCACGTAACTTTTGCGCGTTTATGCGTGCTGACATTGTGTATGAATGAAAGAGCGATGGTCGGAGGAAGTACGGAGGGGGCCAAGTGATGGATTCGCCTGTGTTATATACATGTGCTACGAGCGAAAAACATACTCAACCGCGAGTAAGTACACGAATGCGTGGATGGTACATGTGTGTATCTTGTGTGAGTCTCTCTCTCTCTCTCTCTTTCTCTCTCTATTGCTTCCTCTCTTTTGGGTACATATTGAAAGAAGATATAAATAATGTTGCTTCTGTACAAACTACTTTCTGTTATCGACATTTTCCTGTACACGCCATAGTCTTGTAAATATTGCACGAGATAAAATTGAAAGCGATTTCATTTACTTTCGATTACAAAGTTTCGATCACAAAAGATAACATAACGTTCCAGCGCATCGTAGTCGATGTGCTCCTGTTGTCTGTCCGATAAATAATATCGATACTTTATCGATTTGAGCATCTGTAGGCGTCGAGAAGCAAGGTGGGCGCGACAGGGAAGAAAGACGCTAGCCACGTGGAGTGAAATAAGGAAGAAAAACGGGGGCATGGGGGCCGACCGGGGCCGGAAGTGGTTTCATCTGGCTCCCCCGTTGGTCTGACCTGTTGAACCACCTCGTGACCGGAAGTACACTGTAACAGCTACGGACACCGCAGCGGTGTCTCTACTCTCCTTCACTCCCATGCCTTCCCCCGGTGCACAACGTAAATGACAAAGGCTTCTTTCTGCGTACCGACAACTTATCACCACGTTGTTTACCTGATTATATGACTGTGATTTTTTTCACTGTTTCCGATTTTACACCGACCCATGACGGTGTGGCTTTGTTCCCTCGTTTCACTCCCCGTTGCTCCACGTCCTTCCTTATCTTCAATTCGTTTTTATAACATGGTAGATTTTCATACGATGTAATTACTTAAATTTAACTTGAACCCGTCGTGATTTTTCATCGCGAGAGAAACTCACGCGACTATTGTTTTACGTAATTGGTAAAAATCCAGCGTCTCTGATCAATCTTAATAGGCACATGAGCCTGTCTCGACGAGGTCATCACAAACGTCGAAGGTAGTCTTCTTAATAGCGGCGCGGATTTATTAGCTCCGACGGCTGCGCAGCACTTGGCAGGGTACGCGGGCCTGCGAAATTCGGATAGAGGTGAGATAAGGGTGAGCCGGAGGGTCGATTCTGCACCAACTAACAATGAGGGACGTGGATGCGTGGCCGAGACAGGTCCAGGCTATTATATCCACGACACAATGCCTGCAGCCGGGGAGCAGTATGCGCGCCATAATAATCTGTCACCCCGTATAGCACCGATGCGCGTATGCCGCATAATACGCGCCCTTCGGCCAAGACAGAGGCAGACAGAGAGGGAGGGGGGAGAAATGGGGATTCACCGTGCCCCATCGGTTCTGCAACGAATGACGTCAGAGACTTTTGGGTAGCGTCAGCTCGCTACAGAAGCGTTAAAGAAATAGCAGGGCAAGTGTACGGGTGCATTTTAATTTATATTTCAAGAGATATTTAAGACGATTCTTAATTATAAGAATTGACTGTAAACAAGCCTTAATCGACGAGGATACCGATCGAGAACAAGAAGGAATTCTTCGTTTAACTCAGCTTATTGAAAATTAGAGGGAGAAACTTATAGTCAACCCGACTGGCATATTTCTTTATTTGTTTAATACGTTGTATTATACAAATTTCCCGTTTTAAATTTTAATCATGACTGGTGACTATAAGCAAACTCTCCCTTCGTCAACTTATTAAGTAACGTAACTGAAGCTTAACGTACCAAAGATTGTCATTAGATTTGCAATTATTTTCTAGCGACGTGGCGAAATAGTGGACGGAGATGATAAAATTACTTTCCAACTTTTTCGCACGTGAGTGCAAAAACGTATTCACGAATCGGGACGCGGACGCGCTCTAGTCGAAGAGTGGAAAGGAGGAGGCGCAGATGACGCGCAATCGCTGCCGCGGTGCGTGCCGAATGTTACACGGTATTAGGAAGGTGAACCCTTGAATTAGGGCAGTTGGCAAATATCCAGATTAGGGGGCCACCACGCGAATTTCGTTGAAAGTCGGTTATTTCGTGCAGTTCGTGCCACGGAGTTCAAACTTGTCCACGAAAAAAAAAAAGTATAACTCGTATTTGATTTCTAGTAACGATGCGCACAGTTCCTCAATGATTTCACTTCATTCACTGGAGTTTAACATTAGCAAACCGAAGCTAACTTTATCGATATAAATGGACAATTAACAGTTGTAAGCGAAATATCGAGCTGGCAAATTAGGTTTCGATATTTCTGCGAGACACTATGCGTTTCGATAATGCAGGTGCAGCCAGATAACACGCGCGGCATAATTGCACCGGCAATTTGGATACGCGTTGCGGTACGCTCAATTTCTCAATTGGTTCATTATACACTCGTCCCGCTTGTACGTAAATGACACGGGTGCTCCGTTCGATTCCTCACTTGCTCATTTACGATGCCGATTTGTATCTGTACAGCTAAGAAAATGAATTTGTACGTAAACGCCCCATTATTCTACCGACAATGCTGCAATTAATCCCGGAGAAGCGCGCGGCGGCAATTTCCCGCCAACCCTGCCCGTACATTCATTCATCACAATCGTCCATCACGCGAGACGCATTACTCGGGTAAACGAAGCGATCTCTCGCGACCGCCCCTCGGCGTTCGCCGTATCGCGAACGAATGATCCGCGACTCTACGCGCCAGACACGCGCTACGCACGTACGTGGACTCGCGCGCGCGCGCGCGCGCGCGCGCGAGCGAGTAAGAAACGTAACACGCTTAAAAAGAAGGGTATGACGTCACGCGCGAGGTGGTGGCACACGGCGCGTGCCGGCAGTTTCGTAGATGGGGTACGAATTATCGCGGCGTTCGCGGCGGAGGGGCAGAGGAGCGACAGGGACGATCGCGAGCTGTACCACCGCGCGGACGTGGGGGCTAGGGCGCGGGAAAGCGGGAAGGGGGGTGCAGGCAGGGGGCAGGCGCCCCGAGGTGTCCGCTAGCAGGCGGCTAAACGAGGGAGCGAGCTGGCAGGCAGGCGGGCAGGCAGGCAGGCAGGCAAGAAGTCCGCACGAGTGGCTAGGGTGTCGTACACAGGGGCTACGCGCGCGCGGTGGTGGGGGTGGGCGCGTGCAGCCGGCCTGCAGCTGCCTTCTCGCGTCGCCCCCTTTCCCCCCCCCCCCGAAGCGGCTCGGCTTGGACGCCCGCTGCCGCGCTCCCCCCCATGCCCGAGCGGACCCCGCGCGCCCCCCGGGCCCAGGCCCGTGCAGCGCGCCACCGGCGCAGCCGCTACCCACCACCCTTCTGATTCGGTCGGTCGCGGGCACAACCCCTCCCGCCCGCTGGGCCGGGGGGGAAGCGGCGGGACCACAATTATAAGTAGGGGTGCACCCGGCCTTGCTACCTCCAGTCGAGGGCTGCACTCCGTAACGAGCACGCGCGCGCGCGCGCGGGACCACTCATCGCTCACCCCCGCGCGCACACACACGCACACGACAGCACCGTTGCTCCAGGGCGCACGCGTGTCAAGGAAAACGCATATACATATATATATATTATCGCGCTGTCGCGAGCGAGGGAGGTAGTTTTACGAGGGTGTGAGAAAGAAAGAGAGCGAGAGAGCGGGGGACTTTCTCCCCGGGGAGGGAAATCGAGAGAGATCGCCATCTGTCGTGGAGCCCGCGCCGATACAGTTGCCTCCGCGGTTACCGGTGGTTGCCTCGAGTGCCGCGGTGTGGCGTTAGTGCGGCCGGTGGTCAGTGGCGCGAACGGAGCGAAGAGGACGGACGAGGACGGTGACCGCATGCATCGCGCGCGCGGTGCACCCCGGCTGAACCTCGCTACCTCGGCGGGACGACGGCATCTTCGCGTCTGCGGACTCTTCGCGCCTCGTCCGGCCGCCGCGGCCCTTTTCTCCCCCTACCCCAGCCGGGCGGCACGACCGGCGCGCGGAGAAGGAGACCGGCGCGTTGACTCTCTCTCTCGTTCATCCTCGGCTCGTCGCACACGAGCAGCGCCGGGCATCCTTGGCTCCACCTCTAGCGGCGCGGCGCGGCGGCGGCGACGACGGCGGTGGCGGCGGCGGCGGCGGCGGCTGCCCCCCCACCACACCGGACCCCCTCCCCGCTCGGCGGCGCCCTTCTCCGTTACGGCTCTGCCGCCGACGGCCGAGCGAACCGAGGGAGTATTCCTCGCGCGGCGCGGCGACGGCCGATCAGTGCGTGACTCGTCGTTGCTGCGACGGTAGGCGAGGACGAGAGCGTCGCAGTTTGTCGTTCCGGCGTCCGTCGATGCTACCCCGTTGCCTATGATCGCGCGACGGGTTCACTCGTGACTCGCGTGAGACAAAGGGGCAGCGAGAGCAAGAGAGAGAGAGAGAGAGAGAGAAAGAAAGAGAGAAATAGAGAGAGAGAGAGAGAAGGATCCTCGGGTTACCCTACGCGGACGCGAGCATCGGCGAGTCTCCGTCGTCCCACGGATATACTGGAATAAAGTGTGTCAACGGCAAGTGTGTAAAAAAGTGAAAAGCTGCGCGTGCGACATCAAACCCCGCTTACGTTCGTACGTAGATACATGCCGGCGCTCGGATAGATGGTATCGGGCGCGTACGCGCGCGGAGTGCACAGTGGTTAAAGGCTTAAGTTGAATCGAACCCGCGGTCTCGCGCGCGGCGCGAGTACGCCACACTCTCCGCTTGATTTCCCGGTCGACTCGCCCGGGGCCCGGCGCGGCGCGGCGCGGCGCGACGCGACGCGACGCGGCGCGGCGACGGCGGCACGCGGTTCGTGGCTATGCAGCAGCAGCCCCGCGGTGCCGCGGCGAGACGCAGGTAACGCCGACGGGAGGACGCTCGACGACACGAGGCAGGGAGCGCGCGCGGATTGCCGCTCACGTCCGCGCCTCCGCCGCCTTCCGGGGAAGCGCCCGGCGGCGTGTAAACACCGAGGGATACGCGGACGCGTCAACATGTGGACCACGATGCTCGTGTGGACGGCCGCCGTCGTTCTCCTGCCGACGCCTCGAGCGGTAAGTCCTCCCCCTTCTTCTCTTCCTCTTCCGCGTCCCGTTTCCGTCGACCTCGCTCGGGCTCGGTTTCTCACCGGTCGAAGCGCGACGTTCGGTGAGAACCCAGGCTCGAAGGTTCGTCCGGTACCCCGGTGCCCCGTCGCGGCGGTGGTTACCGTAAAACACGGCGCGGAAATGACGCGAGTACGCGCGTTCCTCGGAATTACGCTCTAGTGTACGTACGGGGCAGAGTAGTCGTCACGTGTTGTCGTAATTAGTCGTAGATACATCGGGGAGGGGTTTATCAAACTTGTGTCGGCGCTCGTAGTTGCCGACCTTGGGGCATCGCGATTCGATGAATGAGTTTGGCACGACGACGCCTCGGCATCCAAACACGTACGGCGAGAGTGGTGTATGCAGGTATACGCCGAGAGCTCGTGGAAACGGCCGGACGGGATCGGGCATTGTTAATACACGCGGGAAAAGGGACGGCGCCGCGAGACGCGACGTAATCTGTTCTCGCGTTTCATAACGACCGCGCACTCGCGCAATTGCGACTCCGCGCGGCGCTGGTCCCGGCGCCTGAGGCCCCGGTTTCACCAAACCGCCGCTCAACTTTGATCCTGTGGTTCAATTCGCGTTTGCCTCCTCCCAAAGTAACAGTCGGAAAGAGACGGGGAACGGAATCGAGCCAGGCTCGAAGCTAAACGACGTTGGTGAAACCGGGCCTTAAGCCCGTGTCAGACCACGGATTGAGATTGAGATTAGGGTTGAAATCTGACCAATTAAAGTAAAAGTCAACTTGAGAGTAGTAAATTTTACTCTGGTGAAATTTCAATCCAATCTGAATCTCAATCCGTAAGTCCGATACGAGCTTAAGAGCGACGCGGCGAGAGCCCTCGCGACCTCTGACCTCGTCCAATTTTTATTCCCCAACGCTTGACCTTGAGCCACCAACTCCGTTGACGGCGAGTGACAGCTCGCTCTCTCTCTCTCTGGTCGCCGCGGATCGAAGGATCGATTCGAGTCGAGAAGCGCGGCACACGGGGATAATCCAACGAATGAATCGGTCGAGCGAGAAACGTTTCTCTCGACTCCCGGGGCCTTTTTCCCGCGTGAAAATAAAGCGTCGAGTCGCTCGGTTTATTTAGTCACAAATTATCCGCGATCGTGCGTCTCTCGTACTTGCCGAGCGTCCTATCGACGGGGTCTCCGACAGACGCGGAATCGAGAACCGACTTTCTTTTTTTTCTCTCGCTTTCTTTCCCCGGTGCTTCGCAATTTCAGGTTTTCTTTTTTCCTCCCCCCCCCCCCTTCATGTTACATCGCCTCTCTCAAACGACCGATTCCGAATGCGACGAGCAATGCATTTCGCGTATTATACGGCCCGTTTCTTCTCTCGGTTTCTTCTCTCCGCACGGATTCCGAGGGAATTCTTCCTGGGAGAGATGTCTCCCCCGGCTTTCCCCTCCCCCCCCATTTCTCGTGCGTTCTTCCCGTCTACCACGAGCCTTCGTGTTTGCCGAGCCGAGTGAACAACTACCTTCGCGCTTATCTCTCGGCGTCGCTTACGGCTTTGATACAGCGAAGTACGCAAAGCCGACTGTGCTTTTAATCGCCAATTTCCGCGGCCGAGCTTGACCGACGACACAACACGCGCTTTGATTTGTGACTAACGTCGATTTGTTCCTAGCGATCGATTGTTCTCTCTTTTTTTTTTCGTTTCAAGTTGACAGTTTATTGTCTCGTCCCGCGGTCGTCGAATGCATCGTCCTCTCGCGATACTCGTGCGAAGGAAGGTTCTAAAAGTTTCTTTCGTTCCAAGAGTTGCCGCTTACTATCCGAACGAGCCCCTAACGGCGTATTCGGCGGTGCACCCAACTCTAAATCTGGATACACTCTTTTAGAAGTGTCTAGCCCCGCTACTCGCTCTTCCTCTCGCTCTATATTCGTTTCTCCTCTCTCCCCCACGTTTGCGCCTAGCGATGATCTCGAACACGTCCCTCGATCGCTTATTCTCGATCTTCGTGGAAGATCTCGGCGAGAATCCTGCCGATTTGTTGGCGCGAGCAGAGTCCTTTGTTGCCCGGCGCGGTGTTGCGATCGCGACCTCCCGAGGGAGAGGCAGAGAGAGAGAGAGAGACACGCCTCAAAGGCGTCTGAAGGGTGGTACGGGCGGCGAAAATCGTTTTGTGTGTGACGAAACGCACCGTCGGTGCCGTGTGTATCCGTAAATACGCGTGGCGGCCATTCTCCGTTCCCAGAATAACTTTCCAGCGCGCCAAAAATGAGATTCCTCATCGCGAGGGCAGCGCGCGCGCCGAGGTGCGCGAGGTATACGCGTGCTCGTTTAATCGTTTACTTTCGCGAGACGCGAGACCCTAACGGGACAGATCGCGACGAGTACAATCGCATGGAGCGTCCCGCTTTGAGCGGTGCCCATGCGCGCGATAATGATTGGCAACCCGTTGTTATCGCCGAGGGCGCTTGTCCGACACCGAACCCGCCCGACGTTTGTGTTTGAGTAAATAGAGCCGGAGATCAGGTAGCCGCGTACTTTGCGCTCAACGCGAGGTAAATCGTATGTACAAATGTTAATGTATTATTCATTCTTTCGCTTTAAAAATAGCCGATTGCCGCGCGAGTCGTTCGGTCGCCTCGCGATACAGTCCGTATCCGCGAGCGTCTATTTTTATCTCACGAGATCGCGTAGAGTATCTTTCTTTTTTTCAAGCCGGACGGGATCTTTGTCGATCGCGACTACACAACGTCGAACGTGGAATATACGGGGCACTTTTTTTACTCCTCCACCTACCGATAAATGCTATCCGTGTATCTCGGCACGTCAGCTGATTTGAATCACTTGGCGGCGCGCACGGCCGTACCCATGGTGTAAAGATGCAAGGTGAAGCAATCTGGTGGATGCGCGCACTGAGAGACCCAAAATTTTGTTGACTCGTCTGAATTTCTTCTTTGGTTATGGGCAAACAAATCTTTCAATTGATACAACGAAAAAATTTAGTTGGAAAATCTGGTTAAATCGACACACAAATTTGCTTGAGTGAACACGCGCAGAATCCTTCTATAATATTGGACTGAACGACTTAGTGGACGCAACAAACACAATTATTTAAGACGCGATGGGATGGACGAATTTGTCATCTCGACCATAAAATTTTGTTCAAATAAACAATTCGTGGAGGCAAAATAGTTGTAACACTTAACTTCTTTTCAGCAACATGTTTTTCAATTGACCAATCAGAAATTCGCCCCAACCTTCAAACTGCAAATCACTGCGGTTGAATGCGGGAAGAACCAATAAACAATTTGCTTGAAAAATTGGTTACATGCGCAACGTTTCACCTTGCATCTTTACACCATGGCCGTACCGCTTACATCACGTGGTCGCTAATGGAGTGCGTAATCGATGCGCGCGAGATACGCGATCGCGAGACCACGGGGAGTTCGATAAAGGAAATCTAATGCCGAGCGCTCGTCGTTCGGACATCACCGAACAACTTACCGTTCGCTCTCGGCTATACAATATCTCGTGGGAAGCTCCGTTCGGAAGCGAAGCGCATTCGTGTGCGCGCGCGCGCTCGTGTACACACACGCGTCGCACACACCGACCGCCGTGTCTGCGGACGCGGTATTCTCGGCGTCGCGACGGCCGGGAAAAATGAGAGACGCGTATCTGACGTTGGCACTGTTTACACGACGATATCGATGTATCGAGGGAATCGTTAAACCTTGGCTAACGAGCTTCTTCCATTTATCCCTTTATCGCGCCCCTTTTTACACACCGATAAGAAAATTTTCGCTACCGTAGCTAATCGTGATTTGTTAAAAATATTTTGCCGCCATAACTATAAATTTTTAAGCCACGGCAAATATATAATAGGCACAGTAGCGAAATATTGGTTATTTATCACAGCTAAGTGTCAGCTGTCCATATTTTGCAACTGAAATCTGGGTACCACGTGCAGTTTTTAACTGCGGAAGGCCGCGATTTGATAGCGCGCTGATTGCGCTAGTTAATCGCCGACAATTTTTACGTGACCGAAAAACGCGCTAATCGACTCGCCGTTTTTCGCTTTGCGCTTCGAGCCGGGGTCTCCACTCGGTAATTTCGTTAAGCAGCGCTTCGCGAGCCAACTAGAGCGTTGATGCATTTACGAGCTTCGGTCGGCCGGCCTCTTTTTGCAGCCGGTTTGCATCCACACGTTTCAAAAAGGAGTATCCGTCGGTTTTAATAATAGCGCTCTTGGCGAGTTCGTCAAGTAGCGAGGAAAAATTTTCACTTTGCGAACTGTGTTGTTTCCTCACTCGGCAAAATAACCTCTGGTTCGACATAAATATTAGAAAGATGTGTTTCTATGTGTGCGACGTATCTCGTTATCATCGTCTTATTTACATACAATTAATTCCGATTTTTTTTTAAGCGCGTTGATTGGCTACGGGATAGTAAAATTCTGGAGCATCTAAAAATTTTCTATTCAACAGGCAATCAACGCGCTTGAAAAATTAGTCGCACGACGAATGTAATATTAACTTAAGATCGTAACAACGAGTCGTTTCGAACGCTTGAAAAGTCACCGATCGCTAAGGACACGGGGATACACGGTGAACCAAACCGAGCTCGGCTTTATTCGACGCGGACAAAAAGCAGAATCGTCGAATCTGCGGTAAATCGTAGCGTATTTTCGCAATTCGATTATAATGGCGAACGGTATGCCTCTCGGGATTCGTTCTCGCGCGATACGAACGAGCGAGAGAGGATGCGCGGTTTTTTGTCGCATCGTGGCTCGTTTCTCTCCTCCTGGGAGATGTGCGTGACACGCGTTCGCAAAAACGTGCGCGCACACGTGCTCCTGCGGCGTTTCACATCATGGGGCACGAGACGACGTCCCCCGTCTCGCGGATAGAGAGAGAGAGAGGGCTTCGTTTGATACAGAGTTTTTTTTTTTCGCGTGCCCCGTGACGACTCGTCGCCAACTGTGGACCAGATCCAGCATTATTAAAAACATTTTACGGTTGCACGCGTTGCAACTATTAAAAAGACTCCGAGTGCGTCCCCGACGCATTCGACTCTCCTCGAAAAACGCTCGTTGATTCTTCGCGTGAGTCTGTACAATTTTCAATGTTTAATGCACAGTCTTAGTACAATTTTTATCTAACGTAAATAGACGAGCAAATCCCGGTTTGAAATTGACGATTGACAATCTTAACATTTCTACAATTTTAAACATAGTGTTCGAGACTCCAGCTTGTCATCAATTTCGACAAGCGGAAACGAACACAGATTCGCGTGTGCCATCTCGAGGAATTAAACGCACGTGTGTTACAGGTGAACGCCTCGGGGGTGTTCGAGTTGAGGCTAAAGTCCTTCGTGAACGAGTTCGGCAAGGACAGCCTGGGCAAGTGCTGTTCCGGCAGCGCGTCCAAGACAGGCGAGTGCTCGGGGGTCTGCAAGACGAGGTTTCGGGTCTGCCTGAAGCAGTACCAGGTGAAGATCGACACGACGTCGTCGTGCACGTATGGTGACGTCGTGACACCCGTTCTCGGCGAGAACAGGATTAATTTCACCGCGAACGTCGCCCTGCCGAGCTTTACCAACCCCATCAGGTTCCCGTTCGAGTTCACATGGCCGGTAAGTCTTCACTACATTGCAGATCACTTTATCTTTATTATTCCTACGACTTTCTCCAATCATTTCCAAAGTTTCGGCAAAAGCTTCCGGCGTAACCGAATAACAAGGTTGTACGTGTCTCGGTTATCAACGGAAGCGTAATAAAAAATCTTTTAATGCTCGGCAAAAGTTTTATCGAGAGAAAGTTCATCGAGCTTTCTACCACGGCTAATATATAGTATGGTGGCGAGACACCTTGCATGTTTAATAATAGCATGGAACAACGTATACTCGTATGTGCGTGGGATAGGTCCAACGTTCCAAGGGATAAATCATTGTCGAATTATACGCGATAATTTATTAAGCTTCACGGGAGATGACACGCGCGTCGATACGACGCTCGGCGACGACGTCTCGCGATTAACTTAGGAGAGGCGTGCCGGGGAACTTTTTGCCGGTACCTCCGATTAGCATAAACGTTTCGATGTGGGAAGTAAGAAATGTTGACGACCGTGTGGTGATAGATAACAGGGTGTTCTATATAACGTCGCACCGGCGGCGATATATAAATTACAAAACATACGGTCACAAAAAGCGAATCGACTATACGTGTCGCCTGCGCAATAGCGATTATACGCCTTTTGTACGCATTCTTCTCCGCGTGTCCACATTCGTTAAATATCTCCGCGTTATACAATCGAGAGGACAGCTTGCAAGGTTTTCTTCGATCATTAGTAACACCAACTTTTCAGCAAGTATAAACGGTTTTGCAGTAATTTATTATATAAAACGGGCACGCGTTGTTTCGCAATCGGCCGAGGATACACGTTTCTGATCTAATAAAACGGATACATTTTTAATTGCCGAAATTAGACGTAAAAACGAGGCAGCGTGAGCGCGGAAAAAAATAGCACTCTCTAAAGGTCGACTAATGAATCGTCACTGTTTTCAGTGATAATCCACTGATTGACTTTTAGAGAGTACACGGAGAGACCGATATGGATACCACATGTCTAATCAGGGTTGGCACAACCCCAATAAATAGTAACATTTGGGACAGCTATATCTGTGGTTGTCATACTCATATTGATAAGATAAGTAGTGGAGACAACTGTGTGCGTTTTGTGCAGCAAACTTAGTGAATGTTGCAACGCAAAACAATGTAGATGCCCCTCCTATTTATATGGCAACATTTTTATTTTGGCCAATTAAATTACTAAGTTAATTTTAATATTAGTTATTTTTGCCTTAGCCGGTCTTTCAGTGTAGGTACTTTCGTTTGTCCACTTAGCCAGTCGCGGATGCCAATCGGACGGTATTATCTAAATCATTTCCAACAAACGCCGGAACGCCGAGACTAACAATAAGCTAAAGAAACACGCGGAATTCGCGTGCGAAGATCGCGAGAAAACCATACACGCGAGAGATCTCCGAGTTAACGCGTGGACAAAGTCGGAGTCGCCGTCCTTTGTAATACACGTCGCGATGCTATCTCGCGCGGAAAACAAAGTCGCACAGTCCTGCTCTCGTCTCGCATAACCGACCGACTAATTTGCACGGAAGTCGTTTCGCGAGACAGAAAACCTGTTCGGTTTCTGAAGGTCGTATCGTGTCGTACATCGAAATCGCTATTGCAAAAGCGGCGATGTTACGTTATGTCGAATGATTAGTCAGGTTTTGTCTTGAAAGTCGCTGTACGGGTATCGTTCAAGTGGGATGGTGCATTTTTAGGCCCGATTTTTCGTTTTTCGAGTAACAAGTAAGAATTATTGATTTCATTTTGACATTGTCTTATTTTTATGCTAAATGAGATTGTGAGAAATATAAATGCGTCAATATTTTTTGTCTCGGTAACAGAAATCCTTTCCGAGGGTGCAGTGGTAAAAAAAAGCGCAATAGATTATTGTACCCTTATTTACAAAGACAGAAAGACACAAGGGTTGCACCCGGCCTTTTCCGTCGGAGGTTTAAAAATGGTAGAAATTTCATCAGAGATTTCGCGATATGAAGTTTGAAATATGTAGGCAGGTTTAAAATACGTTTGCGTGCGGCGTTTACAGCTCGAATAATCGGCCGGTCATCCTTGCGATGTAATTTCGATGCGCGTGCGATATGTATGGGAAGTGCGTGCGTCGTGTAGTCGAGTAGTCGAGGGAGACGTTGCACGCGTCGCCGGTCGCGTTGCATTTGCAACAGGTCGGCGGCGTCGGCGACTGCGGCGGCCGTTCTCGCTCGTAACGACTTTGATTTCTGCCTCGCTTGGTGCGCGCAATTAACGAAAAGGGGGAAACGTGCTTTTTCTCCGTCCGTTCTTTCTCTCGCGTGCGCGCAACGCGCGTCGGCCGTCGCGCCGATGCGAACGTGCAGGATCGGCGCACTCTCTCGCATCTGCTTTTTCCCTTCCTACTTTCGCGCGCGCGTTGCAACGAGATCGTTATGGCGTACGGACAGGTTGATTGTGTTAAAGGAATGAGAGAGAGGGAGAGAAAAACGCAGAGAGCGCGTGTATAGGGGTTGCGTTTGCGTGGCACGTACGACGCGTGCTGCCGACGTCGTTTGCACGCGTGCATGCGTTGCAGCCGTTGGTGCAACCAGGAGAAAGAGAAAGATAACGAGGGCAAAAGATAGATAGATGGAGGGAGGGAACGAGGGAGAGAGTTGGCAGATGCCGTCGGGAAAGAGGAAAAAAG